TATTCTCTTCGCACTCCTATCACAAATCAACGGATGACAAGCACGCCCCGACCGCTTCTGGACAAGGAACAGATATTCTGTCAACTGGGAATGGATCACAACCGCAGCACACGGGCGCTTCGCAGGATGTTGAAGAGGCAGTAGTCATGGAACCGATCGACAATGTCGATTCCCTTAGTTCATCAGGGTCCTCCACCAGATTTGGATCGAATGGCCATAAGAAACACAAGAAGCGAACTAGCTCATCCGATCCAGACGCTGACGGTATAGACGGGCAGCCGCTTGCGCGACGAGTTACGAAGTCAGAGATCGACTCTGAAGGCCGCAGGGCTTTGCAACGTGTCTTAACAACGGCTTCACAAAAGATGGCACGATCAATGAGCATTGCGTCGCCAGATGACCCCTCCGTAGATCCAGGCAGCGATCAATTCGACCTAACCAAATTCATGAAAATGTTTCGGAGACAACTCGAAGGCGAAGGTATTGAGTTGAAGGAAATCTCTGTTGTATACAAAAATCTTAATGTTTTCGGATCGGGTAAAGCCATACAGCTACAGAAGACAGTCAGTGATCTAATCATGGCGCCACTGCGCTTCCGCGAATATTTTGGGGGGTCAAAACGCAAGCAAATCCTACACTCGTTTGATGGCATCATAAAGGTAGGATGATTCATTTTATGAACTGTCAAAGACTTATGCTTACGAAACCTTAGCATGGCGAGCTTTGCGTTGTTCTTGGTCGTCCTGGCAGCGGTTGCTCAACGCTGTTGAAGGCTTTGACTGGTGAACTCCACAGCTTAGAGATCGACGATTCAATCATTCATTACAATGGCATCCCACAGAAGAAGATGATCAAGGAATTCAAAGGAGAGACAGTCTACAACCAGGAAGTCGACAGGCATTTTCCACATTTGACAGTGGGGCAGACGCTTGAGTTTGCTGCTGCTGTAAAGACGCCATCTAACAGACCTGGTGGAGTCAGTCGTGCAGAGTTCAGCGAGTTCACTGCGAAGGTGGTAATGGCAGTCCTTGGCTTGAGCCACACCTACAACACAAAGGTATAACACCCGGAACAGTTTCAGCAGAAGACTATAAACTGACATCATGAGTAGGTTGGCGATGATTTCGTTCGTGGCGTCTCTGGTGGTGAGCGGAAGCGTGTTTCTGTCGCAGAGATGTTGCTTGCGGGTGCCCCACTGGCTGCGTGGGATAACTCGACACGCGGTCTCGATTCAGCTACCGCTTTGAAATTCGTCAGAGCTCTGCGAACTGGTTCAGACTTAGCTGGCGGAGCTGCAGCTGTTGCCATCTATCAAGCCAGTCAAAGCGTTTACGACTGCTTCGACAAGGCCGCAGTTCTTTATGAAGGACGACAGATCTATTTTGGGCCCGCTGGCGATGCAAAAGCATATTTTGAGCGACAGGGCTGGTACTGCCCGCCCCGACAAACTGCTGGAGATTTCCTCACTGCAGTCACGAACCCGAGCGAACGGAAACCAAGGAAGGGCATGGAGAACAAAGTCCCTCGTACTCCGGAAGATTTTGAAAAGTACTGGCGCGACTCACCCGAATACAAACTCGTGCTTGAGGAAATTGAAGAATTTGAACAGGCAAACCCTATTAATGAACACGGAACTTTGCAGCAGCTTCGCGAAAAGAAGCAATTCATCCAGGCCAAACATTCACGTCCGAAATCTCCGTACCTCGTCAGTGTACCTATGCAGGTCAAGCTTTGTACCAAGCGTGCTTACCAGCGTATCCTCGGCGACATTGCTTCTACGGCTACTCAAGCGGTGCTTAATCTCATCGTTGCCCTCATCGTAGGCTCAATCTACTTTGGTCATTCGGACGGTACTTCCTCGTTCGCCGGTCGCGGCGCAGTCCTCTTCCTAGCTATTCTGTTCAATGCTCTAACCTCCATTGGCGAAATCAGTGGACTCTATGCCCAGCGTCCTGTCGTGGAGAAGCATAATTCATACGCATTCTATCATCCTGCATGTGAAGCTATAGCTGGTATCGTCGCAGATATACCAGTCAAGTTTGTCCAGGCTTTGGTCTTCAACATCGTCTTATATTTCCTTGCACAGCTTCGATATACACCTGGACAATTCTTCTTATTCTTTCTCGTAACCTATATGGCCATTTTCATAATGGCGGCCATCTTCCGCACCACTGCTGCAGTTACCAAGACGGCATCACAGGCTATGACTGGAGCAGGTGTCTTGGTTCTTGCGCTTGTCATCTACACTGGGTTTGTCATACGCATTCCGGAGATGAAAGTATGGTTCAGTTGGATCCGCTGGATTAACCCCATTTTCTATGCTTTCGAGATTCTGCTTGCAAATGAGTTCCATGGCGTTCGTTTCCCATGCGATTCCTACATACCTGCGGGCCCAGGTTATACACAGACGGGAAACTCGTTCATATGCAACACAGTGGGTGCGGTTGCTGGTCAGACCTTTGTAGATGGTGATGCATACCTCGAAGTGGCATATTCGTACCAGTGGTCCCATGTGTGGCGAAATGTTGGTATGTGCTCTCGTTGTGACTCCTGCCCAGGTCTGACTCCTGCTAACCTTACCCAGGTATTCTTTGCGGTTTCTTGATCTTCTTCATGACTACATACTTCATGGCCGTCGAAATTAATTCTTCCACTGCATCTACCGCCGAACGGCTGGTCTTCCAGCGCGGCCATGTACCAGCATATCTGCTCAAGGACGGTAAAGATGAAGAGGGTAAAACTGCAGCCACAGCTGGTGGACAAGAAGGTGCTGGTGATGTCAGTGCTATCGAGGAGCAAAAGGGCTAATTAAAGTGGACAAATGTTGTTTTGGATATGAAATCAAGCCGCATTGTAAGGGCGAGCCTCGGCGACTGCTAGACCACGTATCCGGTTATGTAAAGCCAGGTACCATGACAGCTCTTATGGTATGTGCGAATGTGTCGTTGAAATTCTGATCTTTGGCCCCCCGCTGACCCGCAAACTAGGGAGTATCCGGGGCTGGCAAAACCACGCTCCTGGATGTGTTGGCTCAACGGACAACCATGGGTGTCATCACTGGCGATATGTTTGTCAACGGTGCTCCACTTGACTCAGCTTTTCAGCGTTCGACCGGTTACGTGCAACAGCAGGATCTCCATCTCGAAACCTCCACTGTTCGCGAGGCTCTCCGCTTCTCCGCTGTGCTCAGACAGCCTAAACATTTGAGCAAACAAGAAAAGTACGACTATGTTGAGGAGGTAATCAAGATGTTGAACATGAGTGATTTCTCCAATGCGGTCGTGGGTGTACCTGGCGAGGGCCTCAATGTTGAGCAGCGCAAGTTGCTCACGATCGGGGTCGAACTTGCTGCGAAGCCAAAGCTCCTGCTCTTCCTTGATGAACCTACCTCTGGTCTAGACAGTCAGGTTAGTCCAGTCCTGTGTGTTTTCCAGTAAGCTGTTGCTAACAATTGAACAGAGTTCTTGGTCTATCATCGCTTTCCTCCGCAAGCTCAGCGAGGCTGGCCAAGCAATCCTGTGTACAATTCATCAGCCATCAGCCATCCTTTTCCAAGAGTTTGATCGATTACTCTTCCTCGCGCGCGGTGGGAAGACCGTCTACTTTGGCGAGCTTGGAGACAACTCACAGACATTGCTCAACTACTTCCAGTCGAATGGTGCCCGCAACTGTGAAGAAGATGAGAATCCTGCTGAGTATATGCTGGAGATCGTCAACCAGGGAAAGAATGATAATGGGGAAGACTGGCATGATGTTTGGAAAGCAAGTGAAGAAGCTTCTGGTATTGAACGCGATATTGAGCAACTGCACCAAGAGAAAAAGCACGAGGATCTTAACATCGCCAAAGAGACTGGCGGAGGAGAGTTTGCTATGCCGCTCACTACCCAAGTATGGGAATGCACCTACCGCGCCTTCCAACAGTACTGGAGAATGCCTTCTTACGTTTTGGCGAAGTTTGGTCTTTGTGCGATCGCTGGCTTGTTCATTGGATTCTCCTTCTTCCAGGCCAACGCGACGCAGGCTGGTATGCAGACCATCATCTTTTCCGTCTTCATGATGACGACCATATTCTCCTCGCTCGTCCAACAGATACAGCCACTCTTCATCACTCAGCGATCCTTGTATGAAAGCCGAGAACGTCCAAGTAAGGCATACTCTTGGATTGCGTTTATGATTGCCAACATTGTTGTCGAACTCCCTTACGGCATCGTAGCTGGTGTTTTGGCTTTCGCTTCCTTCTACTATCCAGTCGTTGGAGCCAACCAGGATTCCTCCCGACAAGGTTTGGTCCTCATGTTCATGATTCAACTGCTCATCTACACTTCCACCTTCGCCGCGATGACGATTGCAGCCCTTCCCGACGCCATGACAGCTTCCGGTCTCGTCTCCCTTCTCACATTGATGAGTATTCTTTTCAACGGTGTTCTGCAACCTCCCAGCCAGCTGCCAGGCTTCTGGCTCTTCATGTACCGCGTGTCGCCCTTTACGTATTGGATCGGTGGACTCGTCTCTACCATGTTGGCTGGCAGAGCAGTTACTTGCTCTGCGAGTGAAGTCTCTATCTTTGATCCCCCAGGCGGTCAAACATGTGGGACCTACCTCGCCGATTACGCAAATCTGACCGGTGGTGTGATTCAAAACCCAAGAGACAACTCAGCCTGTCGGTACTGTTCACTCAGCAATGCCGACCAGTTCTTGGCTGGCTCCAGTATCTTTTATGGGGAACGTTGGAGGTATGTTTCCATTCTGTTCATTGTAAACCCACCCATCTTTTTGAGACATTCATACTAAATGACAGGCAGGAACTTTGGAATCCTCTTTGCCTTCATCTGCTTTAACGTCTTCCTCGCACTTCTCTCCTACTACCTTTTCCGCGTCGCAAACTTCACCTTCTCGAGCGCAAAAACTCACAAGACGGAAAAAGGAGCCAAAGCCAAGAAAACAGCGGAGAAGGCCAAGGAGGGGGCTGCCGATACGACTCGACAGGGTGCATATTAACCCTCCATGGATGACGAGGGAGGATCGAACTGCGTTCAATATGATAGATCAAATATATCATCTGTTCAAGATCTGCACAAGTTAATCTATGTGAAAAGTACAAAATTTGGAGTGGACCTGGCACTTTGAAACATTCGGGGCGTTTGGCTTGGCCCTATCGTACTTGTACAAAACTAGCGGTGCTCGAGTCGTTTCTATATACGATGCGGGATCTTGACACACTAATATATAGCAATGCGGAACTCCTACCATTTTCTCGCTGTACTGAATCTGATCGCTGGAGAAAGAGCAGGATTGCACATTGTATTTACAGGTATGCACAGTACGGAGTATGGTGCAACAGTGCTGAAGAATTTCTTGGGTTCTTGAAACAGTGACGAGTCACGAACACAAGTTAGTCGGCCCGCTATAAACGGAAACTGAGCACGGACGTATCTAACTACTACCTAGTAGATCCATATGCAAAAAGGGCCCACAGTATAGTTTGCTATAATGTATGAAGTACCGATATTCAACCTTGATCTGGAGATGTTATCCTTCGAAGCGGTTGTCAGGCCATGACGTTGTGCGCGCATGGACAGACTGTGGGTTGGGCGCCCATATATACTATTCTATTCGTGAACAATCCATTCATGGATTATACGCACCTTTTTGGTTGTTTGGCGCAGTGGGAATAGACACCGTGTCCTAACAGTATGTAATGTCAGGACGCATGATGCAGGCTAATTCTATTACGCCAAGTAATCTAGAAGGTATGCATGATTCATGATGTGGCTATAGAAGGATATGGTGATCGAATGCTGCATCACAACAATGCCTTAGCGCAAGTGTATTTGAAGATAGCAAACAACTGGTGACACTATTGTAGATTGACCCATCCAACATCACGATCGGAAATAAGATGAAATCGGCCCTTTGTCCCACCTCCTAAACGCACAGCCCTAACTGCCACGATACATGCAGTAGGTATCGTGGGTTTTCTAACCGTTGACGACAACAGTATCCAAGCCCTGTGATGAAGGGCCGAAAACATCCTGGCTATGATTAAGTTTCAAATACATAAATATTTACAAAGTATCTCATTATGCTGATAGAAGGCTAATTGACTGGCCACGACCTTACTTTTAGCCTCTGGTCTCTCATCTATATGTTACTATGGCACACTCTATCGGCCTTGATCCTCAGTGGATTCGGAGATTCAAGATAGTTCAGTGGGGGCCGAACCAATGGTTAGTCGAGTCTGACTGTTCGGCATTGGCCCGGTCATATTCGGTATAATATAGCCATCGATGGGCAACTGAGGCGAATGTTTCCAACCCCTAGATAGCAGTGAGGTCAACTTTCCAATAAAGTGCTGCTCTGATCCAGGGTGGAAAAAGTACAAAACGTCTTCCATCATTTCCTTGATAGTCACCAAGTCTCGCAGTCTATCCAAAATTCAGCCTCTCTTCTTATCACCATCATTTTGAAACTTTCATTGAGCCTTCTCACCGCTACCCTCGGCCTCGTAAGCGCTGCTGCTGTTGCTCAGGATGTCGCTTCGGTTGCAGCTGAGAGATGTCAAGGTATGGAATTTTCCCTTTGAATGCAACTACAATTTCTCTTCAGCCCACTAACACGACTTCATAGATTGTGTAAATATGTGCGACTTTACTAAGAATTTAGATGATTGTGCAGCCCAAGCTCCAGATGGGATCGGAACTGTAGTTGCCTATTGCCGCTGGCAGATGGGAATTCGACCTTGGGATAGACCCAAGTGCAATTCTTAAGGAAGGGCTCGCTCGCAACTTTTCATGTTTACCAGTGGCATTTGGTTACGTATCGGAACATTAAAAGGCCACGGCTTGATCTCAGAGGTCTAGTCATCTTACATGTAATTCAATAAATCACTGGAGTGAAGCAAAAGACTCGACAAGACTGGAATCTCCCTATGGTGTGATGTTTCAAACGTTTAGTTTTACAGAGTGACAGCAAAACACGCTTACCAACATTGAAATCATAGCCATCAAACCTTTCAACGGATTTTCATTCTGGGCCGCTTGAGTGTAACTGTTGCTTAGAACACTTAAGCCGGTGTCAAAATTGTCTCTCTAATCTAGATGCGTCTGGAAAGCACTGTTACCTATAGATCTGCAGTACTGTCAAAGATATGATTACTTTTAGTGAATATGCGTACAACGTGAATCAACATGCCTGGATGCGATACCAGCATTCTCATTCGACTGGTTCTTGTCTTTCTTTGAGTCATTCTTCATGACTGCAAGCCGATGCTCATTGAAATATCTGCCCTTTCATGCTCATGCTCGCAGACTCCTCTATATCATGAACGTGACATGTGAAATAGCTCTGCCATGAGCGACTGGGTTAAAAAGATGTTCGATTGATTCATTCGCACGTAGAAATCTGCTTGAGTAGATCTAATACTAACCTTTCAATTCTGCTCCATGCTAACTATAATTACATATGACTCATGAGGCAGGTCTCAGGATGTGAAGTGTCCTATACTAGAACGCATGCAGATAAACGCGTTGATTTGTCAGCCTTGGGTCAGTTTTAAGCTTGCACGACACATACCTCGTACGCACTTCCCAAAATTACCGGGCTAAATATATGTTCGTGTGCCATATATTCTGTCTTGGGCCCATTAGATACCGAAATATATACCTATGGGCTTCAGTTGTCTAGGGGCTCCTCTTGATGCGGCGTACTGCTCACAAATGTTTGGTTAGACCGAAGGACATTCCAAATTGCAAGCCACGCAAAATACACATCCTTACCTCTTATCAGAAAGAGTAACTGATGGCAATGCAGAGGGTAAACATGAAATTCCCCACATATTGTTGTGTGTATCATAAGAAACATCATCCAAATATGAAAACCAGCGTGTGTGAAGTTCTCTGCTATAAGAAATCACCACAGGCTTTATATAAATGGTCACCAATACTTAGATTATGTACAAAATTCTTCCTACAGATCATGGTGTTCCAGCACCTCCCCGCAGCTCCGCGATGATGATATCCGCAGCCTTCTCGCCAATTACCAACGCGGTATTGTTCGTATTGGCACCTACATTTTGCGGCGGGATACTCAGATCCGCAATTTTCAGGCCCTTGACACCATACACGTTCAGAGATCTGTCGACGACACCATAATCCTCCCGCGGTGCCATTTTGCACGTGCCAAGTGAATGCCAAGTCGTATTGACGTTTTCACGTAACCATTGCTCGATGGCCGCATCGTCTTCCTTGGTGTACTCGATATCCTTGATATTCTCCAATGGAGCATCGATGGTCTCGGCGATGGCGGCAGCAGAACCCTCTGGAAACTTGGGGTGGCCTGCTGCGAGTTCCCCGCGGTAGAATTTGGTTCGTCGCATAATCTCACGCTGCATCTTGTACGCCCAGATCTGCTTCTTCAGATCAATGTCGTTCTTGTCATTGAAGAATCCGACGTCGAAGTCGAGGGGGTCATCATGCTTAGCACCGGTGATGTGCATGTGTCCTCTTGAGTAAGGGTAAGCAGTATAGGTGCCGGTCGTAACATATTGACCAGCTGGGACGGTGGTAGGGTCGCCTAAGAAGCAGCTGATCAGACCGCACAGCATGAGTGGCCGATTGGCTTCGTTCTTGAAGTCTCTGTCCCATGCGGCTCTGAACTCAGGCCCAAGAGCGTCGATGTCTTTTTCTGAAGGGCGCAACTTGGCCGAGACGTCAATACTGTTCCAGCCCAACATCTTGTCTTTAGTCTCGAGCATCTTGGGAACATCTTTGCGGCCACTCAAAACGCCGTCGATTGTGTCCTCGGGCGCAAGGCTGGTTTTGTATGGGTACAGCAACAGGTGGTGATCTTGGTAGTCTTTACCAACACCAGGAAGGTCTTCTACAACAGGTACACCAGCCCTTTCGAGAATCTTCTTCTCGCCTACACCAGAGCGCTCAAGAACGGGTGGAGTACCACACGCACCACATGTGAAGACAACGAGCTTGCGAGCCTTCACAGATCTCACAGGATGGCCAGTCAAACCAATCTCCATTTGGAATTCGGGATTGGGTGTGTATTCGACACCTGATGCGCGCTTATTCTCGTCGAACAAGACGCGCACGACCTTGGATTCGACAAGGACGTGTAGGTTCGGATGTTTCTCATCTTCAAGTTTCGGGTGGACGTATCTGTGTGCGGTGTCCTGGCGCTTGCCGTCGGGACTGACGTATCGTTGCCAGCGCTGAAAGCCGTTGTTGTTCTCTAAATTTTGGAGATCCTCGATCTCAGGGAATCCAATCTCCCCAGCTGCGCGGATGAAGTCGTCTTCTGATGCCTTGGCACGGAATCCACCGTCGGAGACATGTATCGGTCCGCTCTGACCGTGGTGCTTCTTCTCACCAGGCCCATGGTATGTTTCCAGCTTGTTCAAAAATGGCCACATTTCATGGGCGCTCCAGCCCGGAGTGTTCCAGGAGTCAAAGTCTGAGCGCTGTGCACGCGTGTACATCATGAAGTTGATGGAACTGCCACCTCCCAGTGTGCCTCCGCAAGGGACAATGCATTCGCGATCAGCGAGTTGCTTTGCCTTGTTGCCCTTGTAGAAGAGTGCAGTCTTGGTAGCTGGCAGGAGATTCTGCAGATAGAAGACAGGGTGCACGACGCTCGCTACATCTTTGTTATTTGCACCGCCTTCGATGACAAGAATGGAGAGGTCAGGATCCGACTCCGCGAGACGACCTGCAATGATACAGCCAGCGGTACCTCCTGCAATGTAGTGTTAGTATAATAGAAACATATACCTTAGGCGTTCACACTGTGTACCTCCTGCGATGATAACGTCCACCTCATCGATGTCGTCGGCAAGCTTGTTGTAAATACCCATAATTACATTCACGAAGAGGAACAGTCAATGGTCAGAAGGAGCAAAAACCACAAAAGTTGAGCTATACCGGTATGGCCAATCTCTACCTTAAGTAGCCGACTGTCGTACTCCGCCTCTCTCTACGTGGCACCGTTTTGAGTGTTCAGACCGAGGATCCCCTCCCCCGCATTCAGACCAGTCTAAGTTCTTTCGCGTCCCGTCTCTTACCAGATGCAGTGTGGCGTTGGTGTTTTGTGGCGGCGTTGTCCGCGCCGGCGTATCTCAATGGCGTACACTAGCCGTCACTCGGTCGAATAGGAAACCTTCACTTTCATTGTAGAAGATTTGGTGTTGTGACTAAGTGTATCACACATTCTCCACCCCGCACTTTGTCCCTCATCTGTGGATGACGGTCCCGCATAGTATCTCTGGAAGCCTTGAATTGCCAATCGAATTGACCAGGCCTGACGCTTTGTGGTGCTGACAAAGGGTCCACTTAGCCTAATTCATGGGGGATTGGGGGCTGAAAAGAGGAGTGTTTCCAAGAAAGAATCTGCCTAGTTTAGCCGCGATGTCCGCTTGAAGGCGAAGTTCGTGACTTTCTGCGGCGGGCTTGCGGCAGAGTGAGCATGCGTGTTGATCTTTGGTAGTGAGTTACCAGTAGTCTTTGGCGGAAGCTGCGGAATATTTCCTCTTCGTGGCAACTTAGATACCGTACCTTTGGTCGAGCTAGCCTTCGAACAAAGTACATGTAAAATTCGATCTAATTGAGCAGCTTGAGACTGTGATTAAAGACGCCAATTATGCAAGTCTGTTATGAGAAGTTTATCAGCCTTTATAGTAGCTTAAAAGAGCTTCAGATTCAGCGTACTCATCTGGCTACTTACAATCATACATGCCATGCTTATCATGCAGGTACCATGGATAATTGCATTATAACATGTCGTGTGCACGACGCTTGCATTTTGTCCGGCACTCACAGCGCTACACAAACGCCATGTTCGCACAATGCAACAGTCCAATCACAGGTAGTTGCTGTCTGGCCATGGCTGTGGCTGCGATACCTACAGTCCATTAGTGAGCTATCTCAGCGGGCAGTCCCACAGTGCGCGATGAGAAGGAGGAAGAAAGCTATGCCGTTTCACCACGCGGTAATAGCCGCGCTTCAATTATCCGACCGATGCGGAGATGCTGCGTTGGACGCCTCTTGAACCCCTCCATTCTTGGCAGTGCTTGTTGACGACATTGCTGCGGATATCACCTCTTTTGGACCTTGTGCTTTGCTTTATATATGTAGCGCTAGCCCTACCAGTGCAGCTTCCAGATACACTATTGAACGACATGTTATAGCTTTTTAAGCTTTAGTGAAGTCATGATTGCATCCCGTTTCTAGGAGAACTGAGAATGATCATGAACATATTACCAAGTGGGTTGCGATGACTACTTTGTCTCTGGTATCTGTAGTGTAGCCGCCCTATAGGAGTCACGGAATGGAGTGATGCTGTGTCACGCCAAAGCGCTTGGGTGTTCGATCCAAACCTGGTTATCATTATGAATTCAATATAGTGAATGCTCGAACGTTGCAGTTGCGCGGACGGGGACGACGATGTGGGAGGAGGCAACAGGATCCTGGTAACGACTTTTTCATGGTCCCCATCCATACGCCTGAGAACCGCTCACAAGTCTTTGTTCAAATATTCAACAGGTCCGACATACACTTTTCGCCCTTTTCTCATGAAGTAAACAAGAGAAGTAACAACGACAACGCCGTAGATCAAAAAGTTCCAGTTCATCAGATCAGGCGTTGGATGCGGAAACGTGGGGAAAAAGGCAAACGTAAATGCGACGGACAGGTATACCACAGCAATACCGTTAATCCAAATACCCGCCTTACCAAGCGAGAACTTGCAAGGAAGTAGAGCTTCTCCCTTCCACCTCTTGACGAACATACATGCCGTGCTGATGATGTATGAGGAGATGAGTGCGCACGTGCCCAGCGAAGCAATGGAGTTGAAAGCCACAGTGCTACCGATGTTGATAAGAGACAAACTGATGGTAATGGCAAACGAAACGATGACGCTGTTTACTGGAATGTCCCAGCCTGGACGCACATACGACAAGAATAGGCTGAAGGGGACGCCTTGGTCACGGGCAAAGGCAAAGAGTTGCCGAGAGCATGTCGCGACATTGTTGATACAGCCGAAAACCGCCATGATAGTGGTGATGGATGCAAGAACCGTAGTGGCGGTTAACGACTGCGTGACGTTGTATAGGACTTGAATATGTGGTTGTCCCGTGGGCGTCATAATTGCACTGTCTACATCGCCGAGGCAAATGCAAAAGGTGACAAGCATGAGGAAACCAAGAATACTGTTCGATATAGCGGTCCAGATCATGGCGCGTGGTAACGTGTGCGAAGCATCCCGCAACTCCTCGGACATGTGTGTCGCAGCATCTGAACCAAGCAGTGAGAAGATTGCGGATAATTGTCCCACCAGAACAGATAGTCCGACATTTCCCCAACCTGCATTATCCTGGAACCCACCGAAAACTTCTTTAGCGGGGCTGCGAGGTCCGAGAACCCACATTGTGATGAAGATTGCAAAGAAACCAAGGACATGCAGGACTAGGACAATGCCCTCAATAAGAGGTAGCTTGCGGGCAAGCAGTGTATTGAAGACGATGGAGAAACCGGCTACGGCAATAACGATGAGGGTCCCGTGCCATCTTTCTGGTACGTAATTTGGGTTGTTCAGGATAACAAGGCCTTGGATCTGGTTGGCGGCGAGAAAAGCAACCGATACGATGCCGGTTTGCCATCCCAGAACGCAAAGCCACCCGACAAGGTAACTAAGGGATTGTTGGTGTTGCTTTGGAGCTAATTCGGATACCCAGTGGTATTGACCACCTGATGTAGGTGCCCTGCACTCTTGTTAGTCAATATCTTGTAGTTGGGTGCATTCAAGGCATATTTTGACAGTTTGTACGATGAAAGTGCATCCCATCTCCAAATAGACAAGCCGCGACTCTAGGTACAATAGCGAGGAAATTTCCTTGCGGCACA